CGCACACGCGCCCGTCGACCGCGTCTTCGCTGCCGCCGCCGCCGCCGCTGCCGCGGCCGCCGCTGCCTCCGCCCCGCGCCCCCCGTCCCCGAATCTTGCCATGCCACATAACAACCACGCACACAACCACTTCGCCGCTCTCGTCGTGCCGGACCACAACCAGTCCTTCCAGCAGCCCCACCCCGCCGCACAGGCCCAGCACCTCTTCGACGCGAGGGACCATCACCCCCATTCCCCAGTCTTCTCCATTCATCACGACGAACACTCCGCCCAGTCCCAGCCGCATACCGCCCACTCCAATTCCTCCCCGAGGAACTCCCACACCGCCACTACACATCACATGAATCGCAAGCCGAAGAGGTCGCCCCATCAGAGACAAATCCCACACCCCATCGTTGGCCATCTCCGCCAGCAGCAGCAACAGCAGCAGCAGCAGCAGCAACAACAGCAACGGCAACAACAGCAACAGAATCAGCACCATCATCAACAGCAGCAGTCCCCTCAACAGCACCAACAGCAACAGCCACAGCTGCACGTGCACCATCCGGTCGGTCAAAACCCCCGCCCGCACGTTGCCGCAGACCATCTCTACTCGCAACAGCAACAAAACCCACAACCATCGCACCCCCACCACCACTCGCAGCAGCAGCAGCAGCGTCAACAGCAGCACCAAGAACAACAACAGACCGCCCCGCAAAACCAACAGTCGGACCGCGGTGTTCAAGCCGCTGCCGCCGCAGCTGCTGCCGCCGCCGCTGTTGCCGCCGCTCACGCACAGCAACAAGCACACCAAGCCATGCTTCCAACCGACAATGCCGCCGCCGCCGCCGCCGCTGCACACCAGCAGCAATCGCATCTTGTCGCCCAACAGCAGCAAAACCCGGCCGCCGCCGCCGCTGCCGCTGCCATTCGTGCCTCCACGGGCTCGTTTAATCCCTCCCAGCTGACAGATCAAGCCACCCCCAACGTCCCTCATTTTGGATTTGATGACGTCGGAAGACGTCGCCAAATGCCGCAAGGCACTGCCCATCAGAATTCCGTTATGCTCACCTTTTCGGACAATTACATGCAACAGCAGCAGCAACAGCAAGCCCAGCAACAGCAACAGGCTCGCCAGCAACAACAGTCCCAGCAGCAACCGCAGCAACAGGCTCAAGCATCTCAACAGCAGCAGCAGGACGTCATCACGGATGGACGCCCAAGGCAGCCTGCCGGTATGTCGGAGCCGCTCGCTCAGCAGCAACGCGACTTCCAATCTCGGTTTGAAGGTGATGCCAACCCCATGGTGCAACAGACTATGACCTACGATATCAAGGACGACAATATGGACAGCAAGAGGATGATTACTTCCAATGCTGCAGCCGCTGCCAATGCTACAGCAGAAGCAGTTCTCGCAAATTCCCAGGTCGTCGACCAGACTGCTGTGAGTCGTGTAGCCGCAGCCGCCGTTGGGGTGACAGGGGCTGCCCCACTCTCACAAGGCATGGTTGCAGGTCGAGCCGCCGCACGCATCGGACCCGACGGTCGCGCAATAGCCGCCGCGGCACCCTTTTTACATGGAACTGTTGAAAAGAGAGTTGCCTGCGAGAGCTGCGGCCTTTTGTTTGGAGATGTCGGTTCACTAAAGCGTCATGCTGCTCGTTCTCATCGCGCTGCAACGGGCAAAGGACCCGTCTATTGCTCGCAATGCAACGCTTCGTTGAAGAATGAGCAAAACTTGAGAAGACATATCGCTGTGTGCCACTCGGGAGACCAAGAACATCGCTGTGAAAGTTGCACAGCTTCGTTCAGCTCGAGAGGCTCACTACGAATTCACCAACAACAGGTCCACGCGCTTCCCTCGGCATCAGCCAAGGCAGCAAGAGGTCGCGGTCGTGGTGGCGCGGCCGGTGGCCGAGGCGGGAGCCGCGCTCGAGGAGGCATCTCAAAGTCAGCCAAGTCGGACAAATCGTATGTTTGCGACATGTGCACTGACACATTCAAGTGGAAGGGAAATCTCAAGAGGCATAGAGAGCTTCGTCACTTGCATTTGCGTCCTTTTGTATGTCGTATTTGTAATGCAAACTTTGGTACGAAGAGTAATATGAGAGTTCACTTGATCACTCATAGTAACGGAACCCAAGCACAAAAGTAGAATGAGAGAGAGAGCCAAGTGTCGTCACCTCTGCCTCGTTACGCTCCTTTGCTTTTTTGGATTTGTCGATGTTTTTTTGGTCGGTTTTATCAAAGTTCTATTCTATGATCTTTTCATCGCGTGCACACTCTATAGTGAGTGACTCTTTCGCTCTCTCCATCTCTCTCCCTGTGTTTTGTGTGTAGGCTCGAGGAGAGCTGAATATATATATGTATATCAGTCGGACGTCATTCACTGTCATAGTGACCACGGTGTCTATCGAGGTGAGAGTTAATTGTTTTGTTGTCTGCACTGGCGACGCTGTCGTTCTCACTTTCCAGTAATTGATGTAATGATGGAAGACGCAGGAGGAAAGCTACCCGTCAACTACTTTGTCTTGGTTAATCGTTATTTTGCGACCACCTGTAACATATACTAGGTTTTTTAAAATCAGGGACGTGTCTCATGCCTCTCTGGCGTATAACCTAGCGGTGTCTTCTCTTGATCTTATAAGGATGTAGTGACAACATTCGCTTTATTCAAGCTTATGCTGCTGCTGTGGTACTATGGTGTACAGTACTTGTACTGTACTGCAGGGCAATGCATGAGGTATATGTGCCCTTCTAGAGGATTTTCCCATTACAAGCAGGGTGCTAATCGGCAGGCCTGCAATCTGAACGATATGAGGAGCAGCAAGGTCCTTGACCACACGGGACAAAATTTATCATTGCAAATTTGCTCGCGGTGATCACCTCTATGAATCAGATTAAACGTTGGTCAAGTTTGGATCGTTTCTAGTGAAGGGCAAATCGAGAAGTCTTAAAAGACCTTGTCACACCGACATACGCGCCCCGCGCAACGGCGCGATGATGATAGAAGCCAGGGTGCAAAAACAAACGCGATTGACGGCCGTTGTGATTAGTGGTATGAGCGACGAAACGGGTGAGCACACTGGGACAGATCGACGGATGCAACAATGCCCATTCTTTTAGAACAACCAAAAAAAAAAAAAAAAAAACGAAAAAATCCTGGAAAGCATAAGGAAAGGCCAAGCCCATCGCCGGGTCTCGCCGATGTGAGTTGAGTTGTAGACGCACCCTTTATCACACACCAGCGTGTTGTGATCCGTTTGCGATCAGGAATAAGCCTTTGAAACAAGGATAAATGCGCCCGCAAAGACAGCCTCAAGTGTGTGTTCATACATGTATGAGGAAACTGGTCCACGTTCCATGCGTTTGAGGTGATGGGCAAAGGAATCGGGATCGGTGGCGTAATTTTCGGATTGTATGATGTCAACACCACCTTTAGCATGAGCGGGAAACACATCTTTCATAAAAAAAACTTTTCAGAATCGTGTCATATCCGACAAAACGCATCATATAGACCAAACTGTAGAGCTCTTTCGTGAGGGGCGGAACGCTGGCACCCAGGTTTTGTTTTCATATGTGCGCGCAGCTTTTGGAAATGCGCTTGCCCCCGTTAGAGATCCACCATTATACTCCAAAATACACCGTGTGTATGATTCAGTCCCTCTCATTCCCAATCCTCACACATACGAGAGATGTGCTAGCTTAAAGACTTCTACCCTTAGCACTATGACACATAACGAGGAATTAAAATATGAAAACTGACGAGCAGGTGGTCCATGTTGTCATCTCGTACCCGCGTGTCGAGCGACAGGTTTGTGTACATTGCGCACGTGCCGTACTGTAGCTCCACTTGGAGACAAAACCGAGGTGGACTGGATTGAAACGGCACCGTGCAAGTGCTTTTTGAGAATATAATTTATGATCCGCCTGTATATCTATTGACACGCAGTGCTGCCCTTTGCTGCACACGGTCTTGCGCAGGCGACTTGTATCTTTGCAAGCAGACGGACAAACACCGGGGCGCCCTAAGCACGTTTCGTTGCCCCGATATGACTGCCAGAATATGACTTGGAAATGCAGAAAGCGCTCGACGCTCCTTTTTTCGATGTTGCTAACACCCGCCATACAACTTGTACATGTTACAGGGGGGTACCCTATTTAGTGCTACCCCGTGTAGCGTGATAAAATAGGCACTAAATCGGGTTTGGCACAAGAACGGTAACTTAACAAGAAGACTGAATATAGTATTTAACTAAGGAAACCCGTCAAGGTCGTCTGTTTCTGCTTCTTCTGTGGCTTGAGAGCCTCAAATATGATGCGTCTAGCCTTGCGCAAATGTGAAGACGCATCAGGTAGCGAGAGAGCTACCGCTGCCGCCTCTAATTTTGAGAACTCATTCGCTGCTTCGATCAAAGAGAGAGAACGAGCCTGACTAGCATTAGAAATCTCCTCCATCACTGTATCTGTATGCTCTGCTTCAGTTCGCCCAGATGAAACACATCTAGACCCATCCATTTCCTCCATAATTCTCTCCACCTCTTCTAGAGCTTCTGTTTCCATGGCCTCTCTGACTTCACTTGAATCCTCTACCATAACCCAACCATTAATATTACTTTCATTTAACGTAGCAATATCTGCGGCATCCCTTTGGTCATTAACATTGCTCACATTTGCATTTTTTGCCTGGAGAGATAGGCCCGACATATCTTTTAAAACAGATTCCATGGCGTCCTTCGGGAACACGTTCTTGTATTTTGTGACCAAGGGCACTTGTTTATCATACCTTTTGGTGTAGAGCCGTTAGAGTAGCACTAAACCGGGACATACACTATATATAGAGGCACTAAATCGGGTACCCCCCTGTATACGAACGCAAGACTCTCGGCCCACGGACAAAGAATGCCAATCTAGAAAGGTAGATGCCTCACTTCTTAGGGAGGGCTTTTCAAGACATGGCATCGTTTCAAATTTTGTGCAGCACTATGGGTACAGTGGGGTGTATCCTGTACGCAAAGAGTACACTTGAGAAAGATGTGTTGGCTCAGGAGGCCCCCCAACACACCCTCATGCTGAGATACAGCACATCCCTGTGTATGTAGCCGCGCAAAGGGGAAACACTGACTTCTTACCAGCAACAGCGAATGCAGAAAAAGAACAAACACCGCCCTCGCTGCAGAGCGTCCTCGCAAAACTAAGTTGAGTAGAGGCCAATAGAAAATTCTTCTAGGGCCCTTCCATACATAGAATAGGTTTACAAGTGTGTCGCGCCAGAGCATTTCCGCCAGCAGTATCGGAACAAAAAATCTAATCTACATATGAACGTTACCGTGTCAGCTCCTTGACAAGTCTATCCTGCACGATATTCTTCGTAACCCACAAACGCCCGGAATCCCTGTCCTCATATTTCCAGGCTCCACCATCCAGCCGAAAGCCAGCGGCCTCTAGCACCGCCGTTGCCTCTCCGTGCGCCCCTACGCGGCGCTGAAAGCCCGCATTGGTGGCGTTAATCTTTGAGAAGCGCTCCGCCTTTGGGTTTCTCAATGCATTGCTCAGGTAGAGATGCAATGCATCCAACACGGATCGTAACTGCTCAGCTGGCAGCCCCGAGGCACACAGACGTCGCAAAGCCCTTTTTGCATGGTCTACTTCTTCGTTGTGTTCGCTTTCGCCGGCAGTTTCCTCTTCGGACGCGGAGGGCGTCATCGAAAAAAGCCAGTTTGCTGCGCGGCTAGCGTTGAGGCCATTCTCGCGAAGGGCGAGTGTTGCCAGACCGCGATTGAAACCTAGGGCAGTCAGTTGGTCCACCGCAGCTGTTACAGGCTTTGGGGCGCTCAGGGCGCGTGCTTCTTGCATGTGCGGCTTATAGGACGATGAAGCTGCTGCGTCGGACTGGGGTTCAACCTTGGGCGGCATGACAGGAGAGGATGCGGGTTTGCAATTTTGATCAGGTGCGTCCTTGTCGATTGGCTGCAAAACCTCGTCTTTCGCTTGAATGTCTCTCTTCACAGCTCTCAACTCCTGGCTTTGCCCGGACATCATATCATGTGTCGACGACTGTCGTATATTGGCTTCTTGTTCTGTCATTTCGACGTCATCTCGACCAAAGCCATTTCCAGCAACACCAACCACAGAACGCGCAGCCGGAGCTGAATGTGCTCCTTCCGACGACCCAAGTCTTCCCACAAACCCAAGCGTGGTCGCTCCCACGTCCACCGTGGCCTCTTGCAACGGATCAACCCCCTCGACCCTCTCGTGATGCCTTCCACCTGCGACGGTATCCCCCCCGGACCTCCAATCCATCTTCCCCGCCTCCCTCTCAATCCACCTCATGAGCTCTTTAAACCTATCATCATGCTCGCTGAAGACGTTATGAGCGAGCTCATGCGCGAGAACCTGGCGGATCATTCTCATCGGCCTGAACCCCATTCTATCGTCCGTGCGCAAGCGGAGGTGAATCTCCATGCCCTTTCCAGTGTTGTACCCGAGGACGCACACGGGGTCGACGCCGACCTTGCCCTCGGGCGGCATCTCCTTGAGCGCACCGACGCGCCATCCCTTCCGCTTCATGACGTCGAGGAAGCCGCGGTCGGTCGCCAGCTGCTCCAGGATGGCGGCGGCGCGGGCGTGGTCCGCGAAGCCCGGCAGCGCCTCGGTGCGGCCGAAGCCGAAGGCGGCCGAGGCGGACGCGACCGAGGCGGACGCGCGGGGCGTCGCGCGCGGCGCTGCGACGTACCGCGGCGACGGGCGCGAGAACGGGCGCACCAGCGGGTCCGGCCGTGCGGCGCGCACGGAGGAGATGGCCGACGAAGACGTCGAGAGCACGTACAGCGTGCACGGCGACGGCAGCGACGCTAGAGGGCGCGCGTCCGTCAGCAGACGGCCGCGCGAGAGCAGGCGCAGAGACGTGTCCGGCGGGAGGGAGAGGTGCGCGAGGATGGCCGTGTGCACGTCGGCGAGCGCCGTGGTGGCGGGCAGGCGCAGCGGCGCGCCGGGCGGCTTGCCCTGGTGGCGGAGCGAGATGGTCAGCATGACAGCGGCGGAGGGGGTGCCGGGAGAGGGGGGAGGGTTAGTGCAGGGGATGGCGAGGGGTTCATAACTAGACTGGATGGGGGGGGGGGCAAGTGCGTTCCAGAAGGAGTGGGAACGTGGGTTCCAGAAGGAGTGGGAACGTGGGTTCCAGAAGGAATGAGAACGTCGGGAGACGATGTGTTTCTGCCGCAACCATTGGTTGGTTTCGCAGTCTGCGCGACGTTGTGATGGCGGGTGCCAGCAATGCCTCTTCCTCCGGAGTACAGTACTACCGTACTTCAGGTGTCGAGCCTGTACACGTGTAATATATACGTGGCACTCACTCCCGAATGTGAGCCACCGTAGCCTTCAGTCCAGTCTCCGCTGCATTCGCTAATCTTCTTTGCGTGGCTGCGTCTTGTGCTGCGGCACTAACCCTTTCCCCGACCTCTCTTCCCCGACCTCTCTTCCCCGCATCCTTGCCCACTCCGCTGCCCGCAAAATGGCTTCCCCGAACGCCCTGGAAGCCGTCCTGCGCTCCGACCCGTCCGCCTGCAACCTTCTCCTCTCCCTCTTCTCCACCGCCGCCTTCTCCCCGCGCTTCGCCTCTCTCCTCTCCCCCCTCCCGCACCCGGCGCGCTACCACAACGCCGCGCAAAACGAGCCCTACATCGCCCTGCTCCGCGCGGACCTGCTCTCGCTCCCGCGCCTCCCGACCGCGCTCTCGGCCCTCCCCCTGCACCTGCGCCTACTGCTGTCGGGTATCCTGCTGCTCCCCGACGGAACGCCGTGCCTGCGCAGCTGCGCGTCGCCGCCTTCCGCGCCCGCCTTCTCCGCGGAGCTGTCGCGCTCGCCGCCGCGCCCCGTGCAACGCTCCGAGATCACGCGCGCCGCGACCGCCTCTGCGCGCGCCGCGCGCGCGCCGCCGCCGCTCGCCCGCGCCTTCCACGGCTCGCCGCCGGAGCGCTGGTACTCCATCGTGCGCAACGGCCTGTCCGTGCGCGGCGCGCTGGAGACGCAGAACGGCCGTCTGTACGGAGAGGCCGTCTACTTGGCCCGCGAGTTCGCGTTGGCCGCCGCGTTCGCGCCGCACGAGAGCGCCGGGAAGGCCGGCGCGCTGCAGGCCATGAGCGTCGTGGGCGAGTTTCAGGTCGAGGAGGGCGCGGTCAGAGCGCGCCATGTCCCCGACGGGTACGTGGTCGTGCCCGATGCGAGCGCTGTGCAGCTTATCGCGCTCGTCGTGCTCGTGGAGAGCAGAGGGGGGGAGCACGTGGGCAGCGTTTTGAAGGGCGCTTTGGGGTGCGTTAAGGGTGTCGGGGTTTTGCACCTAGCTATGGTCTATGTCGTTGTGTTGGTGATTATTTCAAATTGGAAGTGGTAGGCGCAGCGATGTGAGAGTGTCAATTTGTTTTATTCGTGGTGGTGGTACAGGGGGTGTGTGAAGGGTGTACAAGGGGCTTGTTAGGAAGCTGGGGGGACTCAAAACGGAGCGGCTACCGGCCGCAAGCCGGGGAAAGCGTGCCAAAGACGGAGGTTCTTCTTGTCTGAGCAGGTTGTTCGGCGAGCAAGCATTTGAATATTCATGGGAACAGAGGCGGAGGGGAGGAGGGTTCGAGCTGACTCCGGCAGCAAACGTATCAATTGAAGGTTGCTATTCTGCCGTCAGCCGTTCGGTGAGAAACTTCTCGATGTCTTTCATCACGATCGGGCCGGTCTTCTGCATGGCGCCGTTCATGAGGAATGAAAACGGGGAAAGCAGTCCTCGAAAGGAGAGGTTGAACTCAGCGGTAAGCTTGGTGGTGTTTTCTCCCTCTGCTTCGCATTCGACAGTATCGACGGATCGGAAGAGCCTGGCCAGGCCGACGTATTGGGCCTTGGTGGGCGCGTCGAAGTAGACGCATTCGTAGTCGACCTTGACGTTCTCCATACCGTTGGCAGAGAACTCGCAGTCGTACTTGGTGCCGATGCCGACCTGGTTGGGCTTCTGGTCGTCGGCGAGGACCGACTTTGTGATGTTGATGTCCCAGACGGCTAGGTTTGTCCAGTCCGACATGAGCCTCCAGACGCGCTCGCGTGTGAAGGGGACAATGATGCTGGAAGTGTACTTGACCATTACGTGTGTTGAGTGTGATAGTTTTGTCTCGGGAAGTGAGAAGGGGTCAGCTGGTTGGGGGCGGTGTTTCGGGAAGTCGTGGTGTCGCAAGGGGCGGTGAGGTATATATATACAAATGAGAAGGTGAGGGAAATTACCAGCGCACAAGGTTTCTTAGCGGAAAGAATGGTTTCGAATGTTGAGCCAGTATCTTGTTTCCGGACGGTGCCTTCGCGGGGCCGTGGCAAAATGTCGGGGGGGGAGGGGTAGTCTCACAGGGTAGCAGCACCGGCTAGGCACTTCGAAGTCTCATGGGATGGTGTCGTATTGAGGGAGTATGCGGTCAGAAGCAGAATCATGGAATATGGAGGGTATGTCCGGTGCGCCCGGTCGTTGGCCAATTGGTGGTGAGGGGTGGAACCTTTGCAATCTGAATGGCCCAGAGGGACCACCCTGGCTTTTCAAGTGCCCCGTGGCAGATTCGCCGCCGCGTGGCAGATTCGCCGCCGCGTGGCAGATTCGCCATGGGATTTCGTGTAGGAGTGAGCCCAGAGGCTGTGTCCGTTGGTTGTCATTTTATTATGTTATTATGTTAAGTTTTAATCTCAATAAGCAAACCTGTCATAGAAACGGGCTTCGTCCCAAAAACTCGACAATTGTCGCGAACCCATCGCGAGAATTCTTCAGCATCGCGAAAAACTCTTCATGCTTCCTGTTCTTGTCCTGCAACGCCTGTCGCATGGAGACCATCGCGTCAAGCTCCGGTGCGCACTGGGGACATTCCTCACCCCACATCCCTGTCTTTCCCTCATTCGATAGCCCCGCCCCGACCCCTTCCCTTCCCACAAGCATCGCTGCAGACGCCCCACCCACCCCATTTCCAACTCCTACGGCCCCAGGCGCTAGACAGCTCACGTGGAAGGAGTGCTCGCAGAAGAAGTGCACAGCAGGGACAGAGACCACGTCCTCGCATGACGCGCACGTCGTCGGCTTGATCACGACGGTCTCCTCCCCCAGCCGTTTCGCCTCGCGTCGCAATTCCCGGATCTCCCCGTCCAGCTGCAGCCCGGCGTGCTCTGACACGGCAGCCTCCCGCTTGAGCCCTGCGGCGCATCGTTCGAAATATTCGCGCACAACACTCCATGGAGCGTCGGGGCAAGCCGACTCCACGAGCTCCACAATCTCCACTTGCGATAGCAACCCGCTGCGGTCTAGCGCCACCATCGCCTCGTCTACGAGATCTTGAGCGCTGCCGCGTTCCGAGCTGCCATCAGAGATAGTGCCGAGTATTTTCCCCATGCCGCCGTCCTCACCCACATATTCCACCCCTGCGATAGGTGAAACGCGTCGAGGTGGGCTTGATGAGACCAACTCTAGATCCTCGCCGATGGCATCCCCCTCGCTTCCGTACCCTTCCTTTGCTGCAAGCGGTGCGTACAGGCGAATCAATTCCATCCACAGCCGCGGCTCTCTGTCCCCATGCCGCCTGCATGCGCGGAGAAGCGACGGGCCGTTTTTAGACATGCGTAGACTGACCCCCAGCTCCGTGTACATTCGTAGATGCTCATACAAATATTCGAGGCATGGATCATGCCCGTTTTGCTCAGCGATCTCTAGCGCCGCTCGAAGCTTAATTACCGACCGCCGGCTCTGTAGAATTTTCAAAGCTCGTCGCCCAATCGTCCCTCTTTCCCCAGTGTCGACCGAGCTTTCCAAAGTTGTGATTTGTTCTTCGGCTTTTACGCTGTCCTCATCACCACCCAAACTAGGGTGTCCATGCTCGGTACGCGATTTTTGTTGAGTTGTAAGTTTTCTTTTTGCCTGTAGCCGATCAGCCACATCAACGCATACAAGCGACTCAAAGAGAAGAATCCATGCCTTCGGCGCGTTTGCTTTGGTAATACCGCCGGGAGTGCCTAATACCCGTTCCAGTAGTACTGCCCGCCACGCTGGCATATCAATGAAGATCGGCAAAAACATGCTCAGCTGCAGCAGTGGTTTGGAACTACCGGGTGGCATAGAAGCCGTGGAGCGGCATATCGCATCGCATAGATAATGCACAAATTTGACGGGTTCTTTCTCTAGTAGCCGACGACCGCAAGCCTTGATGACTTGCAGCGCTTCGACATCTTCTAAGGATCGCAACAGCGCCAATGCTTTCTCTGTTTCCCCGAGATCCTCCACGAGAGTGTGGGCGAGTTGTACATGTCTTCCACGCCGCCTTGAGACTCGTTCAGCAACTTTGAACAATCCTGCATCTCGACACAAAACAATCGCGGCATCAACCTGTTCTTCAGTCCAATCCACATCACTAAAAACGTTAATGACGTATTCATCATTCGTCTTCTCTGTAGCATTGGAACCGAGAATAGCCCCTCTTGCCCTGTCATGACGGTAGCAAGTGATTAAAACCTTGGTGTGTGCGAAGGCTGCCCTACCAGCTGCATGCAACGCTTCTAGGTATAACCGGAGTCCGGAGCGTAACCCAGATTGCTCGACAAGACGGGTCACGACCCAGCTTGGTTCCACACCACCGCCAATAGTCTGAACGAGGTGCTCCGCAGCTTCGTCGTACCGGTTCTTACCCATGAGGTACTCCGCATACTGTCGGAGTGCTGACGTTAACATGACATTCGACTTATTTGCATTTTCACCGCTTTCTGCCCTAGCGAGGGCGATAGCAGGGACGTGGAGCCCCCTCTTCAGTAGCATATTGACACGTTGTTGCAATGAGATTTCCGAGAGCTTCAATATAGAACCATCAGCAGAGCAAAGCATCGCATTGCGCGTATATGATGAATGCCCTTGAAAACAGCCAGTTAGTACCCCTTTTCCACGATAAGCGACAAGTTTGTTAACAACATCGTACGCAGTAATAGAACCCGGCTCAGTTGAATGAATGAGATAGTTTCCCATGCTAGATACCATCGCTTTCTGGCCCTCAGTCGGAAATGCAATGCAGGGACCCAATCCGTCACGATTAAAGAAGTACAATCCTTCTGCCCGAGCAACAACTAGTTCGGCAGAGTAGTCCAGAACTGTACAAAGTTTCCCGGTTGACGAGCCCATATTATCCAAGATCTCTCGTCGAAAGGCAACAGGCTTCGAGGCATCTTTCTCCGGGTCTACCACCGATACAATGACGACAACAGACACTTTAGAGACGCAATACAAAAGGGTTCCGCAGTAGCGCAAAAAAACAATAGGCTTTGCTTGAATCATTTCGCCCGGCGCGGGCGCAACCCGTACACGCATTGCGCGTTCGCGGTAAATCTCGCCGTAGAGAATGGTAACCGAGGCATCCTCAAACCCGATAGCGATTTCTGAAATATCAGCAATGCCGAGCTTTGCATCCTTGACGGCAAGGACTTTTGGGCGCGAATCGCTTTGCAATCGATATACGGCTATACATTCCAAGCGATTTTCATCCGCGGGCACTGGGCGATTTCCATTTTGATAAGGGGAAGGGCCGTCTTCAATAGCGGAAGATGGAGGTATTGGTGACCTCGAAGTTTCCCTGACACGAAACTTCCATACTTTTAAGCAAGGGTTTCCATCATCGACACCAAGCGTGACGAGACTCGGCAGCACTCCGTCGCCATGTCTCACAAGGACAAGAGAAAAAACTGCTCCATCATGCGCCGAAAACGTGTAGTGTAGGGGAGGTGTGGTCTCGTGCAGGGAACGATACGAGCCAAGTGTGAGTGAAGGGTCGAGGGATGCGAGATGGAAGAGCTGTACGACGCCGCGAGGGAGCGCAAGTACGAAAGTCCCATCGATGGAGTCGTAGGATACAGCTCGTTCAGCAGCGGTTGCGAAGCGGCGGAGTACGCGTTGCTGTGAGGCGCGTTCGTGGTTGCGTTCTGCGGAGAGCGTGGGAAAGAGAGATACTTCGCCGAAGGAACTGGCGTCCTCACGTCCCGCAGTGGTGTCGAGAAGTGTCTCGACGGATAGGAAGCGAAATGGCTTCCATCGAAGGGACATCGCGAAGCGCGAGGCGGGCGATGCGAAGAAGCCAGGCGCTGAAGGGGTTGGGGTGTAGAAACTAAAGAGAATGAAAGAGTCTGTTAAAGATGTGGCACACGTTTCAATCCCAGAGAGCTCTGTGAGAAGAAGAGCTGACATCCACTGCGATGGCCTTAATAGAATTCTAGCACAGTTCCAATAATGAATTTAGGGCGCATCGTCCTAACTTGCAACAGGGACATCTTTCTTTGAAAAAATAGAAGCACTTCTGCCGTATCACCAATTTATGCACTACCAGGGTAGATGCCCCAAGATCAACGTTTAGCGACCGCTACGTTCTGAGTCGGTCCTTCTTGATGGATAGCGTGATCAAGCATGCTAGGAGGTTGCTGCATCTCTGAATATGATCTGAAGCGCGCTGTCTTTCTCACTTGAGGACTATCTTGAAGAACAAGAAGACTGCTCATGAAAGAAGCAACTCAAGAAATCGCTCGATCAATCGCTCAGTTTGCCCTTCTGCTATCGCTGGGCTCATCTGCATCTTGTCTCCCCTAGAAAAATGCTGAGACAGCTTTCCGTCGTGCGGCGCTGCCTACGACTGCGCAACATCTACCAATCTCACCCCTCACTCCCGCACTTCAGGTACTGTGCCCAAGCAGCGAACGAGAGCACTCCCCCCCCTCCCACGCGCACCACCGATCTATCCTCGCCACGCCATTCTCCGCAGCCTCCTGCACCGACGATCGCTCCGAACGTGAAGAATGTGAAATGGGAAGTTACAGCTGTAGACGACGGCTCCCGCCTTGATCGCTTCATTAAACGCCGTGCACCAGGAGTACCACCTGGACTCATCCAACGTCTCATTCGCAAGCGCTCCATCATGGTGCAGTCAATCCCAGCAATCCGCAACGCACATCCGGTTCGAACTGGAGATGTCGTCACCTTCCCGGGGCACATAAAGCTGGGCCTATCTCGAGGGAAGAGAAAGCCGCAACCAGATGATATTTCCCTTGCAGAGTCGGCGATTGTGAAGCACTGGGTCTTACATCGGGATGCACGATGTGTCGTTCTCAATAAGCCCGCAGGCTTGCCCACGCAGGGAGGCTCTTCAGTAGGTACCAGGCATTTGGAGGCTCTCTTGCCTGGCATTGGCGAGGGTAGGTACTGGCTTGTCCATCGTTTAGATAAGGAAGTCGGTGGCGCTATAGTTGTCGCACGCGATGTCGGAGCTGCAGGCTTGCTCGCAGAGCATTTTCGAGGAAGGCTTGTCCGAAAGACATATTGGGCGTTGGTGGAGGGTTCCGTGAAAGACAAAACAGGCTTTATTGACCTCCCCATAGATGGGAAGAGAGCAAGGACTGACTACAGAGTAATCCAGAGCTTGGACAAAAAGTTTGTTTGGTTGGAACTCAGCCCTAGGACCGGAAGAAAGCATCAGCTGCGGATTCATTGCGCTGACGGCCTCGGGACCCCGATTGTAGGCGACGGCAAGTACGGACACGGCGGGCCCGAAGGTCTGGATGGGCAGAATGTAGATGGTGGGTTACTATCTCTCATGAATCCTGGGCTGCATTTGTTTTCAAGAGAGATACAGTTTCCAAAGTTAACACAGCATATGTCTGGCGGCGGGAAGCGATCAAAGAGGACAGCTGGGAGCGATGGAACTGGCTTTCCAACAATCACGGCTAGGGCTCCGCTTCCGCCGCACATGAAGGATACATGGAAACGATTTGGACTTGAAGAACACTTTGCGGCATGATCACTTCGAGTGCATATTTTTCACGGTCGAGCCGCTCATCGCGTTCCTCGTGCACAAGGTCACAACCTTGACCCGTGAAGAACAGAAGAGCCGCTCAAAGAGCATTTAAAGATAAGGGTTGCATATGGAATTGCAGAACTTTCCTCTTTGGGTGTCTGGTGTCTCCTAGAGGGTACTTACAAGTTTTGTTCGTACCCTGGCGGATGTCGCACTTCAGGGGTGCGATGCTTTAACAGCGAAAAGGCATTACCGCGTACGGACAAGAGAGCACTGGGTGAGGTTATCTCAAATCATGTCAGAGCTTTTATCTTGAAGGACACCTCCGCGCCGGGCTGGGAGACGTCCCTCAATACCGGCTCTATTTTTGTCCACACAAGTACGAAACAAGAGCATAACACCAGAATAGCTTAAAAGCAGGATGCCTACATTCGACGTATTGAAAAGTTAATGAACCAGCAATAAAGCCCTAGAACAAGCATCACATATCATCCATATCGTCATCATATTCCGCCGGTTTCGGAGTAGGCTTCGGCTGAGTTAGTGCATGCGGAAGAGCGTTGGGGAGCGCTTCATTGCGGCCTTCATTGACAATCCACGGATGTTGAAGGGCCTCGACGGCTGACAAGCGCCTGTTAACATCAATGCAAATGAGCTTGGAAATAAAATCAATCGCCTCGTCACTGATGTATTGCCACTGCGTCTTAGGGAATGAGTATTTGCCCCTTTGAATGGTATGTAGAACCGACTGGGTATGTGAGCCTTCAAAGGGCTTCCGACCAGACAGCATTTCGTATGCGACGACGCCAAGGGACCAAAGGTCTGCCTTTGTGCCGTACGTTTCGCTAGTAACGACTTCGCGAGCGCAAAAGTAGGGCGTTCCGACCTTGGACTCGAGGACGCCCGATTCGAGAAAGTTGCTGAGCCCAAAATCTGCAAGCTTGGACGTAAAAGGCCATGTCTTTGCCGTGGTGAGGATGTTCTCCGGCTTGACGTCGCGATGGACGATGCCCTTTTCGTGGAGGTAGGCAAGGCCGAGAAGAATGTCTTTGATGATGACGGAAGCGGATTCCTCCGAAAAATGAATGGTCTTGGAAGACAAAACTTCATAAAGTGCGCCACCGGCCATGTATTCGAGGACGAAATAGAGCCTATCTTCGGCATCGAATAAATCGAACAAACGGACAACGTTTGGGTGATTGACTAATCTTAGAATGTTTAACTCACGCTGGATGAGCGTCTTGCTCCTTTGTTCCTTGCTCTCCTTCTTAATAACCTTAACGGCGAACTTTTCCTTTGTCCTCCTATCCTTTGCCATGACAACCTTTCCAAAGTGCCCCTCCCCAATGGCCCTGACAAAAACGTAATAATGCTTGATATTCCTCTCACTGGCATACCTGAGGGTTTCGTACCAATCATTATACTGTTCCTCGCTATCTGCGGCAAACTCCTCCGACCCAGCCCAGGTTCGAATCTCAATTTCAAGTTTATCTGGGTGTGCGAGCACCTCGGTGTTCTGCAAGGCGAGTTCCCACTCGGGCCTGGTGTCCTCCTTCTGCCGGAAGCATTTGAGGTTGGAGCCACGGACGACGAGGTAGCGGTACTTTTTATGCACGCCGAAGATGGGGTTGCTGCGTAGAATGCTGGCCTTCTTCGGAAGGTATCCTTCCTTCTCTGTGTATTTGCCGTAGCGCATCTCCGGGCGCGGATTCGACGACGTCGCCATCGATGAGCTGGAAGGGATGACGTCCATGTGGGATTGTTTTCTGGGCCGCGTTGGCAATTCTGCAAGAAGAAGCTGCTAAACCTCGACGCTACGCAGTACAAGAGGCTGATGCGCAGCGACTGGGCAAAAGGTGGCGCAGAGTGTTACCTCTCCTTGTTCGTCGACGCAGCCTCCTTTTAACACATACAAAAATAAACAGTGGCCTCGTTTGGTAACAATTGGGCTGGGGGACAGAGAAGGGAGCGAGATTGTAAGTTGAGGTCGTTCTGAGGGCTGGAGGTTGTGCAGTCTTGTAGGACAGGGGATGTGTTCCAAGGAAATGGAGCAGAAGCGCATAGAGCCTGGACGAGGAGTACAGTTGCCTTAACGGGCCGAATGGCGTCATAATACATACCGTACTGCTGTACTGCTGTACGGAACTGGGCTGTCCAGCCCTTGTTGCCTGGAGAGGTCAGGAGTCTGGAGGGCGTACTGAATACGCCACCGGGGCAACCCGAACCCCTATCTTCTCTCACCTCATGGGCAACCTACACGCCCAATCAAATTGCACTCATCGCATGCCATTACAGAACGCACCGCATACAACACGTGTTCGCACGTGTCACACGTGTACGCACGTGTAACCTCTTCCCTTTCTGTAATGCCGACCGTGCTGTAAAGTGCCCGTCCTGCATCCCTCACCGTGAGAGCAGTGGGATCAGGGGCCCTCCCATGATCGCATCGTCGTCGCCCTTTGCAACCAATTTTCCGCTGCTCACACAGCGCCCCACCCGCCCCTCTCGTCGCGATCCTGTCTCCACCATGGGCGCCTCCTACTCCCGCGCCGACGCCTCCCCCTCGCCCGCGGCAGCAGCGGCGGCCGAAGCGGCGGCCGACGCCGCGGCCGCTGCGGAGGCCACGCCAGAAACCACGCCGAAGCCGTCCGCCCCGACCGGCGCCTTCGCGGCGGGCCTGTCCGCGGCCAGCCTTTCCAAGGCGCCCGCGCCGGGCGCGGCCAGCCCGTGGTGGCGCAACTTCGAGCGCTCCGAGCTGCCCAACCCGGGCAGCTACGACGAGCTGTCGCAGGACGCCACGCTCATCCTGCGCCCCAACGTAGTCGAGGGCATGATGTTCAACTTCACGGCCCCGCTGTCCGAGTCGCAGATGCTGGGCGCGGCCGTCGAGATGGGGCAGAGGGATCGCGACGGCCAGTTTGCCCTGCTGGCCAATTACTTCTCGCAGCGCCTCGTCTGCATCTCGCGCACCACCCCGGCCGACGGCCAGATCCACACCCGCGTCTTCATCAACCACACACCCCGCCTCACGTCCAAGATCGTCGCAGATATCTCCGCTGACGACGAGGCGCGCAAGGGCTCGTGGGACCTCGACTACCGCGGCATGGACCATTGCGCACAGCTCAAAGTCGCGTCCGGCCCGGTCGTCGCCGCTTCGTACTTGCAGTCGGTCGCGCCGTGGCTCGCGCTGGGGGGAGAGGGCTTTGTGCAGGTCAAGTCGCAGTTTTCGGCGATGACCCTCGCAGCAAAATTCATGAGGGGCAAGGACCAGGCCACCCTGTCCGTCGCCAGCTTCGGCCCGATCGTCGCGAATTACGTTCATAGGGTTAGTCCGAAGGTTGCGTTTGCGACAGAGTTGTTCGTCGATGCGAGGTCGAGGGGGTCACACGTTTCGTGTGGATACCGCTTCGATCTCAAGTCGGCCACGGTTGTGGGGCTTATCGACTCGTCGGGAAAGGTGGCAGCGACGTTGGAAGAGAAGATTAACCCTGCCCTTGTTTTGACACTTTCAGGAGAGCTTGATCATGCAAAAGAAGAGTACAAGTTTGGCTTTGGAGTGAATATCGGCGGTGGATGAATAGTGCAAACCACGGGCGGCGACACAGTTTTGACAGACAAATTACGTCCAACGGTCGATATGGGACAGTTGCGGTTGTACGGATCCTACGCGTTTTCACGGTACTCTCGACTAATTCTGTGTGATCCCATAGACCGAAATGCATGCCTCACCTCGGCTCCTATACCCAGATTTTACAAAACTATAAATGGTTACACAAGAAGTGCTCCTATCGACCGAAGCTATCTATCGTCTTCGATCTGGCCCGCAATGTAAATTCCCCGACATGATGTATTTTAAAGCGTGAGCGAACAGATGCCCGTCCGCATTTTTATTGTTTATCCTGTCCTACTGATCCAAGTGAGGGCCGTTCAATTATGCAATCTCCTGTAGCAACATTAATCGAACCGCGCGTTTACCCAAGCGCTATTCCTCTTCCGATGAGAGCACTTTTGCTCCATCCTGCCCTCTGCGCCTCTGGTAACGCGCCTCAGACTGTAATCGCTTACGGGCGAAGGCTCCTTCGCCGCCATCCACATAACGCACGAGCTTCACAGGAACGGCTTTTGCGTTTGGTAGCTTCCTTCGACGAAAAGGCCGCACGTTCGCGCCGGAAACGGCGCTAGCCTTTGCCTCTATCGAGCCGCCTACCACATGAGCACCAGAGGTCAATTCCCCAACGGAGAAAAATGAACGCTCGTTGAAGTCTGAATTGTTAATTTGCTCCGCAACCACACTTGACGTGGCTTGAACCTTCTCTACACCATCTGCTGGTTCTTCAGAGACAAGAGCTGCGGTTCGTTTCGCAGGAGGCAACTCAGACTCATCCAGAGAGGACCCGGGCACTGGTCGAGCACGTTTCTTCGCTGCAACATTCGACGCAGTGGTTCGGGAGGGTTCCGAAGCCGTTGCAGGCTTGCCTTCTGCCCTATCACCTTCTGCGCTTAGTGCACCACGTTCTGATGACCGTAGCGATTTCGGTTTGGCAACACTGGCATTCCCGTCTCCATCAGCAACTGAATCATCGGGATTCATTGGGACGATTGGCCGTCTGGTAGCCTGTCGTCTCTCATTTGCGGTGTCGCTTTCGTCAGAGTCGACATCGCTTTCACTATCAAGAGGACCAGGGGTGGCAACATCCGTGACTTCCGCGGCATTTAACTTGATTAAACTCGACGCGGCGCTGACGGGCACAGTGCAGGCAAGTTCCAGGGGCATAAGATTTGCACGGATTATGGCTGCGGCAAGTGCAGACTCCGGTAAAAACGTCCGACCTGTCGTGTCAACAGGCTCGTGGACCTTCTTCGACGCCCCGTGCTCCCCTTGCACGAAGACGACCCCTTCAACGGGTCCCGGTGAAGTGATAGCTTTTGCGAGAGTGGTAGATCCTCCAAGACCCTCCAAGATGGCAACCCAACGCGAACGACGCTCTTCCCTAGAAAAGGCAAAGTTGACATTTTTGAACAAATGCTTGCGACGTTCCTTGACAGGGTCGTCCAAGATGGCGGCGAGGTCCTCTGCAGCAAATGCGGCTTGGTCTGCGCTTGAGAATGGCGGGACAAAGCGCTTCTCGTCGGGAGTTTCTGCGGCCTTTGCAGCAGCTTCGACGTCTGTAGAATCGGTATTTGCGCGACATGATTCGGCGACCACGTGACGCAAGGCCTCTACCCAAGCGTTTGTGACGACATGCTTGCCTTCGGCCAAGACGGAGAGAAACTTAATACTCGAGGAGCTGCATTCATCGGTGATTAAATGGGTGGATTCTTCTGTCCATGTGTCGCCAATTTCAACAGACGTAATATCAGCAATTACAAATAATCGATTTCTTTCTGCCTGTGAGAGACGCGAAGGGACCAAAACGAAATTCTCACGGCCCAACCGCCACCAATCATGGGGAGCGCCAAAGGCGAGAAAGGCGCCATCCCAAACCTCGGTTGGAGTCGACTTGTCGAGACGGCGATGATGGCCTACTGCCATCTGAGCACGGTTCGAAGGATGGCTTGCGGGATACTTGACGAACGTGCCATAGGCCGAACTGTCCTCAATGTAAACACAGGTGGAATGATGCTTGCGACGGCACGACTGCGAGGGTGGCGAGTAGAAGGGGGCCTTGGCGACCGAGACTCTTGCATGCGTGCGGGAGACGGAATTTGCGGGAAGGCGAATGTCGACATGCTTGCGTCCAATAGTGCGGCCGCCTCCTTCGACGCCGCCGAGCCAGTAGCGGGGCCGTATCTTTGGCCGTGGGTCGCCCTCTTTGATCAACTCGACGACGTACCACATGNNNTCTTGTGGTACTCGCGCCGCTCCGCTGCAACCATTTCGTCGTGAGTGGTTTTTCGCTCACGAAGTAGCCGAGGGGGGGGAGAGGAGGGATGCGGGCGCGGCGCGAGTGGCAGGAGCAGCGGTTTCGTGCGGAAAGAGTCGCGGCGGTGACGGAGGCGGAAGCGCGGGTTGGGGCGGGGGCGGGGACGAGGGCGGTGTGTGGGAGAGGCGTGGGCGGGTAGGCACGGTTGTGTGGGTTGAAGAGAGGACAGTTGTGTGAAAGGTGGAGGAACGAAATGGCTGAATAGCTGGCGTGCAGGAGGTGCTTTGTCGAAAAAAACAAAGAAAATTTCCTAATGCAGGCAATTACAGGGAATCTATTTGCAGCTGTAAGGGCTGATGTCTCCCGCCTCCATGTGACCCCAAGTGACCCCAGGTGACCCCGGGGTGACCCAAAAAGACCCCATTTCACCGTTTTCGAAGTAAAGTAACTTTACTGTACTTGCACGACTTGCGGTCGTGGCATTGCTTGCTTACATGCCGTACTTCGCCGCGGCCGCGCATCACACCGACCTAAACTTTACTGAGGAAACTCTACCTTACGTTATTCCACTATCGAGATATGCCGTGCTTCACCTCTGTTTTTTATTTAATTGTTCAAAGATACTGTATGCTACGTCTAGCGTGCATTATCACCATAGATATATGCCATCCCGCATGCTGTCTCTGTGGACGGCTGTCCCTTCTGTATCTGTGTTGAAAGACCTAATATTCGTCGACATTGTTGTAACGCTGCACCACTGTCTTGCTTCATAACGTTATGCTGATCACCCAACCCAACGAACACACAACACCTCAAACAAAACAAGAATGTACGTCAAGGCTCAGTACTGTAGTACTTTTCGACAGATCCGCTTCGTGGGAACTAGTGAAGGCCTATACCGACATGGCTACTTGTACGTCAGCTGCCTCTATTGTTGCCACAGTCCTGTTGCCAAGGAATCCATTGTAAAGTCTACAAGTTGGTTCCTATAGGCTTCCAGAAGCCTATAGCCGTGCCCCACCACAGATAGGAAAATATTCGCACCCACCGCGACCAAGTCTTCGTCCCACATTGGCGCCACGGTTCTTCTTGTTGTAAGTCCTCTTCGCCCTGTGTACGTACCGGGCGAATCATTGCGCAACTTGCCACAGGGAATCCTCCACTGACCATGTCATCGAGAAACAACACAAACAACACAAACAACACAAACAACACAAACAACACAACTGAAAAACGTGGGCATAGCATGCCGAATCACAATGACGGCAAAAAAAAGTAGTCTTAAAAAATGTACGGCTTCACCCGACCCAAGCCGTTCAGCGAACACAAGTCTCACTGTACAAAAAAGAAAACTGGAGCTTGATTTGCTGATCCTGACGAGGATCCTTAAAATGTGTGGTACAGTGCTGTAGAATCCCATGTTATTGGTAATAACTTCATGTGTAGATGCGGTATGGACAAGCACAGGTAAAAAGCTCCGCCTTCCAAAAAAAGATAACCCTCTGAAAAAAACCAAAAAACAACCGTTGACCCGGACGGGATTTCCTTCTGAATCGAACCCGCAACCTTTTGATCTGGAGTCAACTGCGCTACCATTGCGCCACCAGGCCACACTGCATTGCGAGGGAGGTAAAAATCATGATATTTATTGGCATAATTCATCTTTGAACAAATTTCCAAAAAATTTCAAAAATTTCAAAAAATCATGTATTATTTTTTCTGCCATTAACAGAGCACACTCTTGCGACACCATAGAAGCGATCGATTGGCTCGGTGGCAGGATGCTGCCGCAAATGGCGTGTGTTTGATTGTTCAGTGCATTGGTTCAGGCGCCAGGGTAGGGTATGGGCACCATGGTTTCCGAGGGAGACGCGAGGTAGCGGGCGACGCCGGAAGTGGCATGCGGAGGGAGGACTGTGCACGCGCGGGGAGTGAAGCGGCGTCAATCTGGAGCCACTGGATAGCGACACATCCATACTGTGTCGTGGAACAAGCTCAAGAGCGTCGGGGTCTTCGGGGGGGGGGGGGGGGGGGACTCCCCGACACCGACACCTTGCCCGTCGTCAAATTGACCAGTGCGTCCACAATAGGCACTCTGCCGTTCCGCGGAGGCCGTCTGGGCGCTTGGAACCGGGGACGGTTTCCCGGGCGTAGACAAACAACAAGTGTCTCCATTCCCCGGCGACGGCGTCGACGACACTGGGACAGAAGAGCTCTTCGAGCCGCGAATCAGCGTCTGCTACTTGGGCGTGGGCTTCCCCGAAGGCCGCGTCGGCGTGGAGCTAGACTTTTGCAAAAATGCGTGGGC